GAATTATTCACCATGATCAAGTGGGATTCATTCCTGGGATGCAGGGCTGGTTCAACATTCGCAAATCAATCAACGTGATACATCACATTAACAAAAAAAAAAGAGAAAAACCATATGATCCTGTCAATCGATGCAGAAAAGGCCTTTGACAAAATCCAGCACCCTTTCTTAATAAAAACCCTTGAGAAAGTCGGGATAGAAGGAACATACTTAAAGATCATCAAAGCCATTTATGAAAAGCCCACAGCTAACATCATCCTCAACGGGGAAAAACTGAGAGCTTTCTCCCTGAGATCAGGAACACGACAGGGATGCCCACTCTCACCGCTGTTGTTTAACATAGTGCTGGAAGTTCTAGCATCAGCAATCAGACAACAAAAGGAAATCAAAGGCATCCAAATTGGCAAAGATGAAGTCAAGCTTTGGCTCTTTGCAGATGACATGATATTATACATGGAAAATCCGATAGACTCCACCAAAAGTCTGCTAGAACTGATCCATGAATTCAGCAAAGTTGCAGGATACAAAATCAATGTACAGAAATCAGATGCATTCTTATACACTAACAATGAAGCAACAGAAAGACAAATAAAGAAACTGATCCCATTCACAATTGCACCAAGAAGCATAAAATACCTAGGAATAAATCTAACCAAAGATGTAAAGGATCTGTATGCTGAAAACTATAGAAAGCTTATGAAGGTAATTGAAGAAGATTTAAAGAAATGGAAAGACATTCCCTGCTCATGGATTGGAAGAATAAATATTGTCAAAATGTCAGTACTACCCAAAGCTATCTACACATTCAATGCAATCCCAATCAAAATTGCACCAGCATTCCTCTCGAAACTAGAACAAGCAATCCTAAAATTCATATGGAACCACAAAAGGCCCCGAATAGCCAAAGTAATTTTGAAGAAGAAGACCAAAGCAGGAGGCATCACAATCCCAGACTTTAGCCTCTACTACAAAGCTGTCATCATCAAGACTGCATGGTATTGGCACAAAAACAGACACATAGACCAATGGAATAGAATAGAAACCCCAGAACTAGACCCACAAACGTATGGCCAACTCATCTTTGACAAAGCAGGAAAGAACATCCAATGGAAAAAAGACAGTCTCTTTAACAAATGGTGCTGGGAGAACTGGACAGCAACATGCAGAAGGTTGAAACTAGACCACTTTCTCACACCATTCACAAAAATAAACTCAAAATGGATAAAGGACCTGAATGTGAGACAGGAAACCATCAAAACCTTAGAGGAGAAAGCAGGAAAAGACCTCTCTGACCTCAGCCGTAGCAATCTCTTACTCGACACATCCCCAAAGGCAAGGGAATTCAAAGCAAAAGTGAATTACTGGGACCTTATGAAGATACAAAGCTTCTGCACAGCAAAGGAAACAACCAACAAAACTAAAAGGCAACCAACGGAATGGGAAAAGATATTTGCAAATGACCTATCGGACAAAGGGCTAGTATCCAAAATCTATAAAGAGCTCACCAAACTCCACACCCGAAAAGCAAATAACCCAGTGAAGAAATGGGCAGAAAACATGAATAGACACTTCTCTCAAGAAGACATCCGGATGGCCAACAGGCACATGAAAAGATGTTCAGCGTCGCTCCTTATCAGGGAAATACAAATCAAAACCACACTCAGGTATCACCTCACGCCAGTCAGAGTGGCCAAAATGAACAAATCAGGAGACTATAGATGCTGGAGAGGATGTGGAGAAACGGGAACCCTCTTGCACTGTTGGTGGGAATGCAAATTGGTGCAGCCGCTCTGGAAAACAGTGTGGAGGTTCCTCAAAAATTAAAAATAGACCTACCCTATGACCCAGCAATAGCACTGCTAGGAATTTATCCAAGGGACACAGGAGTACTGATGCATAGGGGCACTTGTACCCCAATGTTCATAGCAGCACTCTCAACAATAGCCAAATTATGGAAAGAGCCTAAATGTCCATCAACTGATGAATGGATAAAGAAATTGTGGTTTATATACACAATGGAATACTACGTGGCAATGAGAAAAAATGAAATATGGCCTTTTGTAGCAACGTGGATGGAACTGGAGAGTGTGATGCTAAGTGAAATAAGCCATACAGAGAAAGACAGATACCATATGGTTTCACTCCTATGTGGATCCTGAGAAACTTAACAGGAACCCATGGGGGAGGGGAAGAAAAAAAAAAAAAGAGGTTAGAGTGGGAGAGAACCAAAGCATAAGAGATTGTTGAGAACTGAGAACGAACTAAGGGTTGATGGGGGGTGGGAGGAAGGAGAGGGTGGGTGATGGGTATTGAGGAGGGCACCTTTTGGGATGAGCACTGGGTGTTGTATGGAAACCAGTTTGACAATAAATTTCATTTATAAATAAAAAATAAATAAATAAATAAAATGGGGGAAAAAATAAAAAAAATAAATTGTGGGAGTAGAAATAAGGAGAAATTAAAATACTAAAGACAGGGATTTAGAAGTTACTTGTGTATTGCACAAGAGCTGTTATCTTCCTAATAGATGCGTATTTGGTCAAAGCTATGAAACTAAGTAAGCATCTCTTTTTCAAAAGTGTAGAAAGAGAAGAATAAAAAGATTAAAGACAAAAAAAAAAAAGTACAAAGATGTATGTCCTAGGATATTACAGATATATTATTTGTACACACAAAAACCTGGATCAGTCTGGCAAGAGCTCCTGTTCTGCTTAAGACTGTAGACAAAACTGGAAATAGCACTGCTCCTGCCCTTAACAACCACAACAACAAAAGACCAATTATATACTTAAACACAATTTTCTTGAACTGTCAAGGAGCTGTGGTTGCAGAGCAACTAACAAAGTAGAAATCTGAAGAAAGATAAGTGCTTCCATGGAAAGACAGGAAGAGTTTCCTCTCTTACTCAGAGCAGACACCAGATGCTATACAATTTGATGAGAAGAATTTAAATAAAAATATTAACAAACTGATAATTCCAAATGGGGGCTCATATGAGAATACAGAAGCCCTGGGAACTTCACGCACATGAGGAATCCACACCCATTTATAGGCTCTTCTTCATAGACCTTAAATGGGTACTCAAGAGAAAAATGGGGCAGAGAAAGAAATTAGAGAAAGCTTCCCTCCTGGTGCAGGCCTAGAAGAGAGGAGCAGTAACCTGAAGGGAGTATACAAGTCCCACCCAGATCCTTCTCTGTCTTCTTTAGGCAACAAAAGCCTTACAGCTTTGGGAGAAAGGCAACAAACTTTGTCATCATTAGGACACATGCAAAGACCCATTACGTCTTCAGGTTAGGGAAAGGAAACTGGAAAAAAAAACAAAACAAACAACCAAAGAGCACCTACCATGGAAAAGAAGCAGAAAAACATCTTGAGTCTTGACCATTAGGTATCTCCCCCGCTGGTGGTTGGGAGGGGGGGAAAGAAAAGTCAAAAGATACAACATCTGCCAAAAATTGAATCTGTACCAGAACATTAGAGAATGCTCTCCAGACCCCATTGCCTTGCTAGCAAATGTCAAGTAACGAGAGCATTCTTCTGGGGTGAAGCAAGACCATGGAGAGACACTTTCTTGAGGCATACCCTAAACAGAATACCTAAAACTAACGATGGATCAGCTATTAAGAAAAATCCTCTAGAAACCATTCCCTACCATAAGCACTAGGTAACAATAAAGGAATTTGAAGAATATTCGTGGAAACAAGAAAGCTTAAGCAGCTCAACTATTGATGAGACTGATTCAACCACCTAATTAAGGGCCTAGCAAAAGCAGAAATATGCTCATTTCCAGACAAAAATACTATTTATCTGTCTCTACTATTCTACATAAGTTGCTCATCTTTATTTATTTATTTATTTATTTTTAATTTTTTTTTCAACGTTTATTTATTTTTGGGACAGAGAGAGACAGAGCATGAACGGGGGAGGGGCAGAGAGAGAGGGAGACACAGAATCGGAAACAGGCTCCAGGCTCTGAGCCATCAGCCCAGAGCCTGACGCGGGGCTCAAACTCACGGACCGCGAGATCGTGACCTGGCTGAAGTCGGACGCTTAACCGACTGCGCCACCCAGGCGCCCCAAGTTGCTCATCTTTAAACCAAAAATTATCCAATTCAGAAGGAAACAAATTAAAACAACACATCGTCAAGAGACAAAGCAGTCAACATGACCAGTCTTAGCTATGACTCAGATATTGGACCTATCAGACAGGGAATTGAAAATAATTATGAATAATAAGTTGAAGGCTCAGGTAGAAAATGTGTACAGATGGGCAATTTCAACAGAGGGGTGGACGTTTTAAAAAACAATTACATGAAAATGCCAGAAATGAAGACAAATCCTTTTGATGCATTAATCAATAGACTCAATACAACTGAGAAATGGGTGAACCTTAAAATAGGTTAATCGAATTTACTTGAAATTGATCGGGTTATGTGCCAATAATCTTTAAATAATAACATAAGCATATTCAACTACTTTTTCCCCCTAATATACTTCAAAAAGTTAATTTAAAAAATATATAACAATATGAATTAGCCTAACACCATTCCTGGCACATAGTAAGTACTCCATAATGCTTACTGAAGGAATTACTGAAGTTTGTCAATGAATAAATTTAGTCATTAATGAGAAAAGAGAAGTAAAATGAGAAATCACTTACTATAATCTATGCTAAATAGGGCAACTCCAGAACCAGGATAGTAGGAGCCCTTCTCCACAGTGACAAGACAATGCTTATTTTGTTTTTCTTGAATAATTTCCTTTACTCCCGAAGCTCCTTGATTCATCAAATTCCAGCCTCGTATACATCCATCTAGACGAGGGTTAATCTAACCAATTGAAATATAGGTCAAGGAGTGCAACTTAAACAAGTCAGACTCAGAGTGGTTTAACTGAATATAGATGCAGTTTTCATTTAGAGGGAAAACCCTTTCTTTGACGACATTTTTAAATATTTTAAATGTTTCGAATTTTATCTAATTTTTTAAGGTATCCTTCAGATGGACAGTCTTTTTCACTTTATGCCATCACAGAGCCCCACTGAGATCCTAATGATTTTTAACACCTCAAGTCCTACTGGCCTTTCCCAGCCAGAGATGGTTTTTCTGCTCTCAAGTTCTATGTACGCTACTAGCTGTGGCCCTGGGCTGCAAGCTGCTTTCTTTAGTTGCATTTATAATATAGGTTTGTCTTGCCATCAGACCCTGACTGTCTTCGGGAACAAAAGTGTTTGCTTTCTTCAGTCAAAAAAGCATCCAGACTCAAGACACACAGTAGCCATTTTACCAATGGTTTTGAATAATTTATTTTACTTTTAAAATGTCTTGATTTCTCAATTTCAAAGGAACAGATATATTCACTCTGACATGGGTTAACCAATTCAGGTTTTATACCATATTGCAGAAATCTTTCAAAAGTTATGGTAACTGAATTGCCATGAGTAAAAGATGGATATAAAATAGTAAATATTTAAGGTAAATCAGCAAGTATAATTGGCAGGCCCATGACTTCAAATGAAATTTTTAAAGCTCTTCAAGGACAGTGATTAGTCTCCTTCATAAAACCTATTCCATGGTTATTAGACAAACATCATATGCAGAAAATCATCTTTTATTTATAACTTTAATTTATGACAGGCTGAAGTTGTACTCCCAGCAAAGATTTTTTTTTTTAAGATTTTTAGAAGTTCTATCCTACACGCTATTCTATCTCCCAAATTTTAAGTCCTAAAATAGACCTAAGAAAATTCTTTGACTGGCTTCCATAAAATATTGTATTTTGGGACTCAAATAAATGTACTTGTATCTGCAACAGCTGAATATGGACAGTTATGTTGACATTGAATTGATGCTTGAGAATTGAAAAGGCCTACTTCTCCATGAGTAACACTGGGAATTTAAATGGGCTCAAAAACACGACATTCATTTTCTTATTTCCTTAATACACTTTCAAGGATCACTATGTGATTTTTCCTTGTTCAATTCAAGTTGTCACAGTTGGTGTGTTCAACAAAATAACTTCTTTGACTATAAGAAAAACACATCTTCAAATCTATTACAGACAAGAGGAATTCATCCATGATAAATGATAGAAGCTTGGATCATTACCGGTTTAATGAGTACATTCTCCCCTTTCCGAGGTAATCCTGCAAAATAAACTTTAGTTTCTAGAAATCCATTTGCAGGCTTAAAAAGGCTTCTGGGTTTATTTATATTCATTACGGCTTCTTTAGCTATTTTTACACTAATACTGTATTCTAATTCTTCCACAGAGACCTACAATTAAAAATACAGAAATTATCAAACAACCAAACATCACTGCATGTCATTTGAAACACTAAGATTGAAAAAAATCCTGGTATTATTCCAGTAAATAATTTTTCAAAATAATCATTTTAATGTAATAATTAATTTGTCATAAACACATTTGAAATGTCTAATTACTATAAAGGTGGTAAAAATGTGTTTTAAAGTGATAATTCTTGTCTGAAAAGTAAATGAATATTTTAAGGTAAAAAAATCAATATTATTCTTTTAAATTTAAACATTCAATTATAATACATCTTTCAACCCCAGTGTGTAATTATACAAAATCTTAAGGAAACTTTTAAGTGTTCTTATTTTGCAATTGTCTGGAAGTATACATATGGAATCAATAAGGGAAATAAATTTTTAATATAAATTATGAGAAATCAGTATCTCTAGTGTTCCGTTCATTACATACAAATTATATTTTATTTCAAAATTCAAAAGTAATTGAGGTCATAAGGAAATACAATACATTAAATTGGGTTTTTCCAATTTTGAAAGTGGTTTGGTTTTTTAAAAAAGATTGAAAGTGATGGCAAACAACAATAAAAAATCCTCCCAAAAAGACGACTTGAAGAACCAATCTCCTCAAGCAAAACTCTAGCACTCAAAATGAAAACTCTTCTTTTACTCATCAGTAATGGAAGTGAAAAGGTAGGCATGTTAAAGCACCACTATAGGAAGAGAAAAATTATGCTCTAATGTAAAATAACTTTGGTAACATTTACAGATTTAAAGTTGGTCAATGCTCTGTCTTCAATGCAGCCAATCAGTATCATTTTACTCAAATGACTATTCCCTTCTGGAGAAATTTTTTTTTTTTTCAATATATGAAGTTTATTGTCAAATTGGTTTCCATACAACACCTGGTGCTCATCCCAAAAGGTGCCCTCCTCAATACCCATCACCCACCCTCCCCTACCTCCCACCCCCCATCAACCCTCAGTTTGTTCTCAGTTTTTAAGAATCTCTTGGGGCGCCTGGGTGGCGCAGTCGGTTAAGCGTCCGACTTCAGCCAGGTCACGATCTCGCGGTCCGTGAGTTCGAGCCCCGCGTCGGGCTCTGGGCTGATGGCTCGGAGCCTGGAGCCTGTTTCCGATTCTGTGTCTCCCTCTCTCTCTGCCCCTACCCCATTCATGCTCTGTCTCTCTCTGTCCCAAAAATAAAGAAAAAACGTTGAAAAAAAAAAAAAAAGAATCTCTTATGCTTTGGCTCTCTTCCACTCTAACCTCTTTTTTTCCTTCCCCTCCCCCATGGGTTTCTGTTAAGTTTCTCAGGATCCACGTAAGAGTGAAACCATATGGTATCTGTCTTTCTCTGTATGGCTTATTTCACTTAGCATCACACTCTCCCCTTCTGGAGAAATTTAAGTTAGCCTCTAGAACTTCAGTCTAGCTTGCTTCTGGAAGTCTTACCACTCCATCTCTGTCTCTTTTGGGGGCTCCTCCTTTTCTTTTCAACCTCTATAATAAGCCCCAGAGCTCAGTTCTCAGACCTTTTTCCCCTTAGTCATGCAAATACTTTTAAATGGGGGCTCTACTCTCCCACTCTAGGGCATTTGGAAAATTTGGGGGTGGGGAGGGTACTTAGCTGTTGCAATGAGTAGGATGCATGCTCACATTGCAAGATGCTGGATACCTGTAATAGGGAGGATCGTCATGCAAAATAATAAAATGTCCAATATCCTGCAAACCTTCTGAATATCCCTGCAGGATATTCATGCAGAGTGTACTCATGCTTATCTGAGTTTGGCATATATGAACACAAAACATTTTTTGTACCATTTCAGCATTCACTGAATTTTTCAAGAATATCAACAGTCTTGCAAACCAAGGATAAATTGATGTTTGTTTTGCGTGGATCTTTACCAAGAGTTTCTCACTATTTTGGAAGGTCACCTTTACTGATGGTATCTATGCATTTACAGTATTTGAATTGCCAATACAATACTCCAGCATGAGTCTTCATTTGCAGCTTTCACATTATTCTACATATAGGAGCAAGCTTTGACAAATACTGTACTTGCACTTGAGCCCTTATATACTGAAATATGTATTATTTTCTTATAAATTACTTCCCTTTATTTCTTTGTATAGTAATTAGGGTATTATATTGGTTTCTACTAGGGATATGCAAAAGTAGCTTACATTATTGATGCATTTCATTATAGGACAGGAAAGGAGCATTATGAATATATGGGCACTTGATGAGACAGTTTAGAACCACAGATAAACAATAATCAATCTCATGGCTGTTAAACCCCTCTTTATGTTGAACATTCAAAACTTTTTATCTACCTTAAATTGAAGGCTGAAGCTCAAAAGTATATCCAGAATCTGATTACTTCTCACCTCCTACCATCAACGCTCTAGTCAGAGATGCCATCTTCTCTCCACTGAGTTACTACAGTGGTCCAGTGGTCTCATAAGCCCATATCCTGTCTCTTTCTTACTCTCTACTATCTAGTTTCCACAAAGTCATCATGTCCTGATTAGGATTATCTTCTTTTTTTTAGTGTTTGCTTATTTTGGGGGGGGGGAGAGGGAGAGGGGCAGAGACAGAGTGAGAAACAGAGAATCCCAAGCAGGCTCCACACTGTCAGTGCAGAGCCCGACATGGGTCTCGATCCCACAGACCATAAGATCATGATCTCAGCTGAAATCAAGAGTTGAAACCCAATCAACTGAGCCACCCAGGTGCCCCTAGAATTGATTATCTTTTTTTTTTTTTAATTTTTTTTTCAACGTTTTTATTTATTTATGGGACAGACAGAGACAGAGCATGAACGGGGGAGGGGCAGAGAGAGAGGGAGACACAGAATCGGAAACAGGCTCCAGGCTCCGAGCCATCAGCCCAGAGCCTGACGCGGGGCTCGAACTCACAGACCGTGAGATCGTGACCTGGCTGAAGTCGGACGCTCAACCGACTGCGCCACCCAGGCGCCCCGATTATCTTTTAACATACATGCAAATTAAATCATGCCACTTCTCAAAATCATCTTAGGTCTTTCTACTTAGCATAAAATCTAATTTCTCAATAGAGTCCCCATGGCCCTACCTGGTGTTATTCCAGACCACATTTCTAACCTCATTTTCTATTCCTCCCTCCCTCCCTTACTCCACTGCATCTATGCTGAGCTTTGCGTCGTTCCTCAAATACAACAATCACATCCGCTTGCCTGATGGTCTGTACTTGCTGTTCATATGGCACAGAATCATCTTGCCCCATATATTGCTCATGATTTGTGCCCTCAAGTCTCCGGTCAGATGTGATTTCATCGGAGATGGCTTTCCTGATTCCACATGCACACTCACCATCATGACTCTTGCCTGGCCTTGCTTTTCCTTTTCCTCTGAGCACTAACCACTATCTGACGTAGCTATTTTGTTCATGCATTCGTGGTTAACATCTCACCACTAGAGTGCAAGCTCCACAAGAGTGGTGATTTTGTTTTAATCACTATTGTAGCCTCACTACCTAGAAGAAGGAACAGCACACAAAGCACTCAATAAATACCTTTTTGAATGAATAAAAATATGGTACAAAGTACAAATTTCCCACCAATATTGGAATTATACCTAAATATGAGATGTAATATAGCCTTATTTATTTCTATGGTTTATAACCATTTTAATTAACAATTATCCACATTCTATTTATCTCAATTACAACAATCCTAAGCTCTACATTTTAAATTCTTATTTTCAAAGTATTTTATTTGAGGGGCACCTGGGTGGCTCAGTTGGTTAAACATCTGACTTCGGCTCAGGTTATGATCTCACTGTTCGTGAGTTCGAGTCCCGCATCAGGCTCTGTGCTGACAGCTCGGAGCCTGGAACCTGCTTCAGATTCTGTGTCTCCTTCTCTCTCTGCCCCCACCCCAAGCTTGCACTCTGTCTCTGTCTCTCAAATATGAATAAACATTAAAAAAAGTTTAAAGTATTTTATTTGAAATTTTAAAATTATTTAAAATTAGTGAAGCAAATGGTACTAAGTGAACACTCCAGTTTGCTTAATGTAACTTAAGTATTAATGCTTAATGATTAATATAACTTAACTTTGTCAATTAAAGCATTTACTTGAAATATCTATTTATTTGAGATAATTTCCGTGTCTGCATAAATTTGCCTGAAACTGTACAAGTTATTAACAAACCAACAAAACTTTAAAATGGTAAAAATACCATGAAGTAATATTTTTTAAATGAAAGATAGGGAGAAAAGAAATCTTATTTAAATGGCGGGGGAGAAAATTCATAAATTCCTAAAATATCAAATTAAGAATTTTTAAAAACTAGCCAGCATCAAATTTATTACCAGATTAAAGTTTTTCTCTGATTTCCTTATTATTCTTAAATTTTTAATGTCAAGTTGTATTCAGTTTACAAAGGGAAATTTTATGTTTTATTTAAAATATGGGCATATCATTAAATAATAGTTTATTTTTAATAAGAATCATAAATATAGAAGACAAAATGTATGGAACTGAATAGCTAGCTGCCTTCTATCCAATCCAGAATCCTGCCTCTAACATATCATTCATGGATAATTCATTAGTAAACACTATCTGCAACTCAAGATGTTAGCCTTGCAGGTAAATATTTACCTTCTTTATATATAATTCTATATTACCTAAAATGTATCTAAATTCTCCTCCAAACAGGTGACATTTTCAATTTGTATCAATTGATCAGAAAAATTCTGTTTGCTCTCTTTTGCTGAAAAAGTAATTTTAGTGATTTTTAGATAGGAGATGTGGGGACATGAGGCAATAAAATGTATTCTTCAGGAGTGCCTTGGTGGCTCAGTCGGTTAAGTGTCCGACTTTGGCTCAAGTCATGATCTCGTGGTCCATGAGTTCAAGCCCCACTTCGAGCTCTGCACTGACTATGCGGGGTATGCTTGCCTTTCTGTCTTCCTCTTTCTGTGCCCCTCCCCTGCTCAAGCTTGCCATCTCAAAATAAATAAATAAACTTAAAAAAATGGGGCACCTGGGTGCCTCAGTCGGTTGAGCGTCCAACTTTGGCTCAGGTCATGATCTCACGGTTTGTGAATTCGAGCCCCACGTCAGGCTTTACTGACAGCTCAGGGTCTGGAGCCTGCTTTGGATTCTGTGTCTCCCTCTCTGTCTCTGCCCCTCCCCCACTTGTGTGTGTGTGCGCGTGTGCTCTCTCTCTCGCAAAAATAAACATTAGAAAATTTTTTTAAAAAACTTAAAAATGTATTCTCTAGGACAGTGGAGGAATAGCTGTATGAGCCAAGTATTCTACGTATAGATGCAGTAGGAAAGATGTAGCGGCAAAGCTACGCTAATGAGAGCATTTGGAGAAGCCAGAAAATTTTAGTGATTTCTCTGACAGTTGCATCTGATCATGCGCACTGTTTGGTCAAGAGTCAAGAGCCCCGGGGCACCTGGGCGGCTCAGTTGGTTAAGCATCCAACTCTTTGTTTTGGCTCAAGTCGTGATCTCACGGTTTGTGGGTTTGAGCCCCACATCAGGCTCTCCACTGACAGTGTAGAGCCTGCTTGGGATTCTCTCTTCCTCTCTCTCTACCCCTCCCCGACTACCCACTGTCCCTGTCTCCCTCAAAATAGAATAAATAAACTTAAAAAAAAGTGTATTTAAGAGTCCAGAGCCCCAAATCTATGGCTATCAAAGGACAGATAGCCCCATTTTTGGTAAACCATATCTGTGTGCAACTGTACCTAATTTGCTACCTGTACTGTAATGATTTCACATTATATTGTATTAGTTCATAAGGCATCACCTGTTAAATTGTGAGGTACCAAGTAAGCTCAAGAGCAAGGAAAATCTCTTGCCATAGCTCTAGTGCCTTGAACTCAGGAACTTAGCATTTTCATCAATTCTTTGTTTTAAGTTGATTTATTTTGAGAGAGAAAGAGACAGATGGCACATGTGAACATGAGTGGCGGAAGGCCAGGGAGGGAGAGAGAGAGAATCCCAAGCCGACTCCACACCGACAGCACAGGGCCGGATGCAGGGCTGGAACTCACAAACCCTGAGATCAATGACCTGAACCAAAATCAAGAGTCAGATGCTTAACCGACTGAGCCACCCAGGAGCCCCAGGCACTTAACATTTTAGAAGTGCTCACTAAAGGCTTAGTTAATATATGAGTGCACGAGTGGGTAAATAAAGAAATGAAATAATGTAGTGATGATGTCACATGTCTTTTCAATATAGACCTCTTGCCAGATCCCACAGGCATATAAAGTGTCTCTTTTGGGTACCACGTTCTAAGGTGAAGCTGATTTCTCAGTTAGAACCTGCTGAAAACAGCAATGACTCTTGCAGAAAAGAGTTCTCCCCATTATAGATGAAAGTAATCCCTTCACGAAAACTTCCATTTTAGGCTCACTTTTAGTGATCATCTAAAAGAGCACTGTAATTGGTACTGGCTGGTATATACTCTCTATACAAATTGGTTCCTTATCTATATGCTAATATTCAAAATTGAATTAATTACTATATGTACTAGTCTTTCGATGTGTATTTCTATGTTACTATTGCATTTCTCTTTCATTTAAAAAATATTGGTGGCTATTCAGTATTTTTGTCCTTGATCAGTAGTATCTTTGCATAAACTGTTATGCCCGCTAATAACCTATAGGAGAGACATCAATAAGTCATTAAAAAAGGTAAAAAGTTACAGAGTAGTTTAAGCAAATAACTGAAAACAATGTTACAAAAATCCTAAATATATTCTGTGACATTATCATTTCTCAGACTGTTTCAAGGATTTACAGCGTATGTAGTATACTTCATATAACATCAAATAAATCCAACTCCATTTTGATTTGGTATCACCATAGAAATAAATTATTAATGATGTTAAACTGTGTTAAAGTAGAGATATTCTTTCTAAAATCTATAAAACATACCGTATTCCATAAACCATTATTAATAACTTTGCCTCCGGTTGTGATTTTGGTTGTATATTCATTCTTAAACTGAATTTCAATCTTTCCATCACGAAGAGCAATGAGGAACCAACATGAGTGGTCAAGAGATTCTGCGTACAGGATAACACCTTCTGAATCATAGGTCCGGAAATCAAATTCAGCTGAAAATCTATATAATGGGCAAAGAGACAGCCTTAACAGAGAAATAGGCAATGCTTAATGCATTATTCTTTTTCTCTTATACTAGAAACAGTAATATGTTGAAAGAGTCAAGTATTTCTTTCTTTCCTGGAATTAGTAAAAAAAGTAGAGCACAATTAGACTGTTCATGTGTTATCTCTGGCTCTGTGTATGCTCAAAATCAAGGTATTCTATTTTCTTTCGTATTCTTGGAGACTTTTTCTCCAGTGAACAGATGCTTTGGTACTTTTTCATCTCTTTTTGGCATTTGTTTTGCAGGTACTCTTGTAAATGCTGGAATTCATCCATATGTACAAAATATTAGATATATTGTATCTTTCCTGGAGCTTTTTATACACTATATAATCTGATGTTAAGATTCCTTTTTTTTTTTTTTTTTTGGCTGTATCCTTGATTAGTAAAAGATGTTACCATCTCATGATTGGTTTATACATCAAAAGGCCTGTTTTCCCTGTGACTTCATATATGTCAGGAAGGAATCACTCACAGAGATATACAAAACAGCATCTGGATGACTGCAAACATAATTAAGTCTTTGTGTGTGGTAAGAAAAGTAAAGTAAAAAACTCTAAGATAGATCTGTTAGCTTGATTTAAAAAAGTTCTCCAAAGCTTTAATTGTATAAATCATTACACTAGAGCACATGGAAGGAGACCTGAAAAGATATAGTCTAGTCATATGTTTGGGGGTACCTGAGTTTGCGTAATGTCTGTTGCTATTAAGACACTGAGTATATATGTAGCTATTACAGGGGAGGAAATATCTTAGAAATGCTGGGTTAAAAACTAACATGTATCCGGGCCCCTGGGCAGCTCAGTCAGTTAAGCATCCGACTCTTGATTTTGGTTCAGGTCATAATCTCACAGTTTGTGAGTTTGAGCCCCGTATCGGGCTCCACGTTGACAGTGCAGAGCCTGATTGCGATTCTTTCTCTCCCCCTCTTTCCTTGCCCCTCCCATGCTTTCCCTCTCCCTCTCTCTCTCTCAAAATAAATAAATAAATTTTAAGAAAAAATAACATGTATTGATTAGTGCCCTATGACACTGTAATGAAAATTAGCATTAACATTTCCAGGAAACCATCAAATCAAAATGATTGAAAAAAGACAGAGAATAGAAAAAAATAGTTGTATAACTGTTAGTCACTTGAATTAAATTAAAATAAAGGTGATTTAAGTTAAAAAAAAGTCAGGACTTCAGATAATTTGCAAGAAAGGCCAGAAAGAATTCCCATAGAGGCACTATATGCAATGGGGAACAGACTTAACTTCAAACAGAACAAAGAAAGGCTGATGAAATAAATGTTTTAATCTTAAGAATTCCAAAGAAATATTTTAAAGAGGTTATGTGGAGGGAAGTATGTTGGACAGATAACAATGTAGTAGGGATTTACTGAACTAAGATTATTTTGTTTATTTACTTTTGCTTAGGATAAGGACCTCTATTCTCTTTCATAATCATCACATTTTGCTGATGTGAAGCAGGTATTATCTTGTCAAAACCCAAATCTGCGTATGCTCAGGATCTTCCAGAAGTTGATCCTCTTAGGGAGATAATTTCCTTCTCTTTGCAAAATCATGCTACACCAGTAACACAAAGAGTTGTGTTCTACATTCTTTCTGTCTGGAATACATCAGCATACCCCGGGGAACAATTCATTCTTTCTCTGAAGTTTTGTAGAATGAAAAAGAAGAGTGAATTTGTTAACTTTAGGGTGGGATAAGTATTTGATCATTGGAGACTGAGCTGAAGGAATTTGCAAAAAAAAAAAAAAAAAAAAAAGGAAAAAAGCCACAACAAAGCACTAGTTATTTTTTGTGTTGGTTACCAGGTGGCAGTTTATAAACAGTTCATCAAGTTGTATATTTAAGATACGTGTTTATTTCTATACACATATATATATTAAACTTCAATAAAAAAGTTTAAACTATATAAATAAAGGACAAATAAATACTGGAAAAAATAATAATTTGGCTTATGTTATTCCGTGTTACAGCCCAAGCTATTGTGAATTGTCAGAAATGAATCCCCCTGACAGTGACTAAAGGTATGCAATAATTAACCTTTTTCTCTCTCATTCTCATTATTGTCTTAGCAAGGAAATGTTGTCTCCAGTCTATGTCACTAGATGACATTATTTGCTCTGAGATATTAAAGGGGAAAACCAAGTCTTGGTAGATAAGAGAGTGTTGAAGGAGCACAATTACATTAGTGAATTTTAGAATAATGTTCCTTAAGGATACAATTTCTATGAATTTAGTTGAATTATTTAATGAATAATCATTCATGTATCTAATGAATTAAATTGTTCATATGCATGCTTATCTAATTAAAATATTTTAAAATATGGATTCTGTAATCAGTCTTAAATACATTCCCTTTCTATTATTACAACAAAATTCTAATTTCCTTTTTTCTAGTTTCAATCATATATGACTCTTAGAAAATGTGATAATTAAAGGAGAACCATGACTCTAAATCATCAACAACTATTCTTTCCCTAGACACAACCTAACTACAGGAATAGCAGATAAGCTACTCAGACAATCAACTAAAATCATGTGATGTGTTTCTTTAAAATACCACTTACACAATCTTATGAATTTTCCTTAGTAATTATGAATACGGCTATATTCTGAAAGCAATACTTTCAGTATTTTCTTTTTACTTAGCTTTTATAACATGTATAAAGAAGAATGAAAATTTGACAAATATATTAAATCTACTTTCCCAACTTCTTAGTAAATTTGTATTCACTAGAAATGGAAAAAGGATGGATTAAGGTCCAATGATCATTGGGGAAGTTCAGCCTAGAATGACCCAAATGATTTTAGCATGAAAATTACATGTGTGAAGGGGTGAATTAACGTTAGGGTTCCCTAAATTATCTGATTGATAATATATCTAAATTATCTAATTGGGAGTGCAATTTCATACATTTCAAACCTTTTTGGTCACTTTTCTTCTGTCCTTACCTGCTTACCTCTAGAGATTATCACTGACATTAGTACCTCACCTGGTGATTTCCGGCAAACGAAATTTTAAATATAAAACCACCCCTACGAACTGCTCTGCCAAGTAAAGTAATTCATAATTTTTGTCAAGGTTCAAGGGAAGGCACACTGGAACAGCCTGGAGAAAAGGAAACAAAGCACATAAAAACATGCATAGATTATTGCTTGCTGTTTGTGTCAGGTTATATATTCTTTCTCTGGTTCCTAGTGATCTTGTCAAATGTATTCTTTGGGATACATTAAATAAAGAACACCCTTGGTAATAAAGCAACAGCTTTTACTTCCTTATATAGTCCACAAGTAAAACCTCCCAGAACACATGTTTTAAAGTCTTGTTCAATGTGTGTGGCTTTATATTTTTGTCCTTAATATTTCCTTTGCAAATCTCAGAACAAAACACAACCTTTTCCTTCCAGTAACAACATGTATCCCCTTAACTAACTGCAGTTCTGATGCTTTCAAAGAATTACACTGGAAGAAAAAAAAAAAAAACTGGAGTCAGAAATCATGGAAGAATTAATACACCAATAAGTAGCAGCTCATACACTCATTCATTTATTAAGAAAAAATTTTCTGAGCAAAAATATACTATCTAGACAGTGAAGCTGAAGTAGGGAAGTTGAAGGAAATCCATTTTAGAAAGGCTCCATTTCTGCTGTTTTCTTGCCAGGCCCTATTGTTCTCTATTTCACTTTGAGTCTATATAGAAACCAAAGAAGCCATATTCCCACTCCAGGGGGGAAACAAGAAAGTTGATCATTTTCTGAATTTTGTCCTAGGGCCCCCAAACACCTGATAACATCTAAGAAGAGCCAGATCCCAAACATGTTGCAGGACATTAGCCTCGGATAAACCCCAGCTGATGCTGGCATCAACACCCCCTACCTTCTATGATTGTAAAATAACGACTATTACCCACCACCACTTGCCTTTGATTGGACCCTATCTAGATTCCTGAAGGAACATGTATTCTGGACCCTTTCCAATATAAACCCCTAACCCTAAACAACGAAGAGACTCATTCTCTTTTCCTTTCTGTGTCCCCCAGACACTCTGTCTGCTATACTCTGTTATTCATGCTATTTAATAAACTCTGCTTTCACTTTCTCCGGTTTGCATTTGATTTCTACCCTTTGCAAAGCCAAGGGACCTCTTGGATGATCCCATGGGGACACCCCGCCCCACCTCAACCCAGGTTCTCGGACTCAGCCTGACAGCATCAAAGAGAATGCCTAGAAAACCTAGATAGGATAAATATAAGCAAATAGATTGTGTTAGTCTCCAAGGAATTTACAAAAAAAGTGATTCAGAGTCATTAAATTTAATATCAAGTATTTTTTTTCCAAAGAGTAACACCAAACATTAAAATGGAAAGATTTTGGGGTGCCTGGGTGGCTCAGTCGGTTAAGCGTCCAACTTCAGCTCAGGTCACAATCTCACAGCTTGTGAGTTGGACCCCCGCATCAGCCCCCTTCCTGACAGCTCAGAGCCTGGAGCCTGCTTCAGATTCTGTGTTGCCCTCTCTCTCTGCTCCTCTCCCGCTCATGCTCTGTCTCTCTCGGTCTCTCAAAAATAAATAAAGATTAAAAAAATAAAAAAAAATAGAATGGAAAGATTTTTAGGGATAAGTTTTCAGGCATACATACAGGGATGTTCTGGGGGAACTGTGCACATGGCACGTAAACAACATCTCATCTCCTCTTAGAACTTTAACAAACCTATTCTAAGGAAGATGGTGATGTGTAACTACTATGAATACTAAAATAATAAAAGATTAAATTACAAAGTAGACATTCACGTGGCATGGAATTCCATTCAATAAAATCAAAGTTACTACATAGATATAGTATAATCTCACCTTCCCTGTCTTTACCAAGGAGGTAGCATATATTGAATGTTTCATTCTTGGACATAGACAGTTTTGTCTTGCTAACAGATACAGAGGTTTGTGTATATACATGATTAAATCATTATTGAGGTGGGGTTTTTTGTTTGTTTTTTGTTTTTTTTTTCTTACTGTCTGCTTCGTGATCATATAACATTTTACCTTCACTTATGAAAAGAAATGCCGGAGTTGGACCAACAATCATTAACACATGATCCTTAGTTAGAGGGAGAAACGCTTCAGATGTTGACCTATTTATTTCAGTGAAGGAAAAGCTACCCCCAACATTCAATTCCTGGATCAATAATGAATTAAATCCAAGTAACTAAAAGCAAGTTTGAGACATACAGATTAACAAAATCAACCTCTCTGAATTTTGACGTACTTAAACCTCACTGAATCCTATCCTGACAGTTATTTCCACCTGAGATTTTTTGAGCCCTCTTGCAAGTACCAACATGACGAAATGTGATCAGACTCGTCAAGAGTGGGATAAAGTATACGTAGGAAAATGTTTCTGCTAAGGTTTCTACATAAGATTGTTTTCCTCACAAAGAGAAGTATGAACTTCAGCTTGTCTTAATTTTTTAAATAAACATACACAATGGATTTTGTAAATGTATAGGCTATACAGATGAGTGCTCTCTGAACTATGACCTTGCAGCCTTTTTTAAACCTAGTCACTAATTATCCCCAATATTTATGGCTTACATGAGCAAAATTAGTAAATAGGCTGTGACTCTGAGCCTGCTAGATCTATAGCAATAATTATAGAATATCTGTATTTCCCCGACTTACCTCAGCTATATGGCAATAAGTACCCAGTTCTCTCATTTTAGAAAAGAGATGGGAAGTTTAATGTTGCAAAATGTTACCTCACAACTCTTGTGATCTTGGGCAAGTTTGAATCCTTTTTTCCCATCACAATAACAAGAGTAACCTCCAGGGTAATTGACACAAAGTTGAGCACACATGTTCTCAGAGCATTCATCCACATCTGGGGTAAAAGAGAACATAAATCTTAATATCTTCTAAATGTTCAATCCCAGAGGAGTATTCTGATGTTAGTGTAAGATAATCAGTGATAATAGATTCTTTAGTGAAAGGAATCTCTGTGACATGAAATCACATTTCAACACTTGGCAGAAATTTAAATGAGTTACAAGCGTAATGCCTATCTATTTTATACACCTAAAGCAACAACTGTAATGTATAACTTTCAGCAATAAATAATTAGTAAAAATATAACAACTACACTAATTTTCCAATTTTTGAATTTGAGGGAAAAAAGACTAAGAGTCTCAGGATAAGTATCGTTTCTGACTAAATAAATTCCATTAAGACTGCTTCACCCTTCTTTTCTTGGAAGAAAAGAAAGGGAAGGGTAAGGAAGGGAGAAGAGAGGAAGGGGAGGAGGAGCAGATAGTGAAGAGAGGGGAAGGGGAAAGAGATCCCTTTTAACTGAGGGTTAATGTAATCGGGTATTAAATAATATCGAGAACGTCTGACTTTCCATAATGCAGTGATTAACGGTGGCAATATATTTAAGGTTCTATCTTTATTTCTTATCAATTAAAAAAGAAAAACACACCTCACGGTACTATAATCTCCCATATCGTGAAATCTTTGATATGGCCCTGTCCTCACTCCATATTTTGAGAAAATCATTCTTGAAAAGTTGTAATGATACACTTCATCTAAAGTACACTTCAGAGCTACGTAGGATCCTTGATATTTTCAATGAATGCACCCTGCAATCTTTGAAAGTTCCCAAGTACATAAACGCATATATTCATGGCATACAAATTCCCCCATAAAAATGCCTCAACATACAACTCCAAAATTAGTGATCCCTTAGCATTAAAATTAATTGGCATATAATTCAGTGTGGCTGGGTAGCTCAGTCAACTACACATCTGACTTCAGCTCAGGTCATTATCTCACGGTTCAGGGTGACAGCTCAGAGCCTGAAGCCTGCTTCGGATTTTGTGTCTCCCTCTCTCCCTCTCTGCCCCTTCCCTGCTTGTGCGCTCTCTCTCTCTCTCTCTCTCTCTCTCTCTCTCTCTCTCTCTCTCAAAAATAAATAAACATTAAAAAAAAAAGAACCTATTGCCAAATCCAAAGTAATAAACGATTTACAAAAAAAAAAAAATGACATATAAAGTACTCTGAATATTGTACATAGGTACCACACATGTATCTTTTAAAAAAAAAAATCTGTCATTCTTGAATAAAACTAAAATATACACAATGAAGTTGGCTAATAATAAATCTGAATATCACCACAGTAATTTCTATCTGGAGTCGTGGGAGAAGAGAGATAGTATGTGGAGGGCATAATGTTTGATGAGTGTATGGGAGGTAAAACATCAAAATACCAAGAGAAGCACATATATTTGAGAAAAAAAACCTATTCTGGAATTACTATTGATTTAGGCAAATTAATATAGAGAGGAATTAGATTAAAGGTTATCTCCCAAAAAGTAGATAGAGACAGAAGGTAGATTAGAGTTTAGGAGAGGAAGGAGGGGAAACTTATTGCTTAATGGTTACAGAGTTCTGTTTGGGATGATGAAAAGTTTTGGAAACAGATAGCCTTGATGGCTCCATAACCATGTGGAAGCAATTAATGCCACTGACTTGTACCCTTAAAAATGGTTAAAAGGGTATCTTATATCATGTATACATGTATGGAGATATATGTATATATATCTCCACTATGAAAAATCACTATTGATTTGATTAGTTTTAATTATGATATTAAGTTTATTTTGAAATTTTACAAAATTTAAAGGAGGATATGAGTCTATTTGCATATATCCATAATAAAAAAAATCCCCCAAATATCTAAGCCTCTGGGGCGCACCTGGCAGTGCACCTTCAGCCAAATGAAGTAATGAGTCCAAAGGGCTCTCCCAAATGCGCAGGTGCTGACAGTACTAATCAATACTTGTCAAATTTCTAGAGCTCAGTTATCATTTAATTATGATGAGATTTTCCTTTTACACGTATTTAATTATCACAAAACTACGTCATTTCCTGTTTGAGAATAAATGACATAATAATACACGCACAGAAAATCATCCAAAAGCTTGGCATACACCTGAAGGTTTCTAACCATCCATGTAACACCCGTGTGATTTTTCAACTTATCTTTCATTTGCTTATGTTTTTCCTTCCAGGTTGAAATGCTTTTCGTCTTTGAATATTATTTAAATGATGTGAACGTATTTTTATCATCCACGGGAGATCTCCAATTCATACACAGCTTTGAGGGCAAACAGACTGCACAACCCCAGACCTAAAGACCATGTGTCTTACGTACTGTTATTCTGGAAGGAAGCCAATGACCCCCAAACCGGCCAAGCTACATCACGGAGCTTGCCACCGTAGAACATCTGATTGCCGATTTCACACAGAACCAGTGCTTCTAATAGGAAAGCAGGACTCAAACCCACCCTCTGCGCCATCAACAATGATACCACCACAACTCTACCTTCACAAGACTTCAATGTGGGGTTATATCTGTAGCCTTCAGCGCATTCACATTCAAAGTCTCCTGGAATGTTCTTGCACACAGCTGTGCCACAAATGTCTGGCTTCATTGAGCATTCATCCACATCTATAAGTGAAACCAATAGATTAAAAAAATATATTTTTTCCCATACCAGAGAATACTAGCAAAGAATGCTTGATTTGTGTTTCCTGGATCTAGTTTAACATATGTAATGAGAAAAGAGAGTGGCCTGGGAATAACAAAATTTTAAATCTGTCACCATGTTTTAGTTTACTAAATATGATTTCTTCATACACACATACAGGGAATTTGATGTTTGCTATGTTCTTTATAGTTACGTAAAAGGAGAGGGCTGTAGTTATTTTCTTATCTACCGGGTTACATTACATGAATAAATGGGAGAAAAGATTCACCATATTCTTAATATATACCCCTAAATGCATGTTTTTGAAGTATGTTCTTAAAAGTAGATTCACTCTGTATTATCACAATCATAAAAAATAAAAAAGAGGTGGCTCATCAGTCACTTTTTCCTTTGGAAATATACACTAGCTAAATCTGCATACTATTATTGTTGGCTAAAGTATTCAAGAGTGATTCAAATTTAAAATGGAATTGAGTAAGGTCTCAAAGTATTTATAAAATCCCAATACAAACTTTAGTACTAAAGTAATATCCAGAAATTTCAGATGCATTTATTATATTACATGGTAGAGTAGGAAATAAAGTATTGATTGCAGCTAGTCACTAGATAAAAACATCTATGAGAAAAACAAAGCCAGAGACAGAAATAGTTCAATGGAGATGTAATTATTTTAGTGAACTTTTCTCATCTGTAATCTCTGGAGACAGATAAGTTCAGAATAGGAAAAATATTTTCTACTCTAAAAAATTGAGAGTTTAATTTTTTCACAGACTAATAACCAAAATTTCAGATAATACTCTAGCTAAAAAAAAGCATGCACAGAAATAATTGAATCAATTCCTGTGGTAAGGGAATTTTTCTGTATCATGACTGTATCAATGTCAATGTCATAGGTGTGATATTGTACTGTAGTTTTGTAGAATGTTACTATTAAGGGAAACTGAGCAAAGAGTACATGGGATCTCTTTTTATAATTTCTTGCAACTGTATGTGAATCTACAATTACCTCAAATAAAATATTCATTTTTTTAAAGAGCTATAAAATCCATATTTTTAAATGAAAGTAGGGACGCCTAGGTGACTCAGTGGATTGAGCGACCAACTTCAGCTCAGGTCATAATCTCATGGTTTATGAGTTCGAACCCTGCATCGGGCTCTGTGCTGACAGCTCAGAGCCTGGAGCCTGCTTTACATTCTGTGTCCACCTCTCTCTCTACCCCTCCCCTGCTCACGCTCTGTCTCTCAAAAATAAATAAACGTTAAAAATAAAATAAAATAGTAAAAACATATGACTAAAATTATTTGGTTTCAGGCATATTGCAGAGAATTAGTTAAATCATATGAGTCCAAGTTATAGTATGTTGATTTTATTACTCTACACTGACATCTAATGTCTGATAAAAAGTTTCATTCTTCCATTTTTAGACAATTACTGGCAACTTGATCTCAAGCATATCCACATCTTGGCAAAGGCCTTATTGTAATAGCTATACACATATTCTTCTATCACCTAGTTTATAGATAAAGACTGTAAATCAGGATGCCTGGTTGGATCAGTCAGTTAAGCATCAGACTTCAGCTCAGGTCATGATCTTACGGTCCAGGGGTTCGAGCCCCGCATCAGACACTGTGCTTGGAGCCTGCTTTGGATTCTGTGCCTACTTCTCTCTCTATTCCTCTCCCACCTCATGCTCCGTCTCTCTCTCTCTCTCTCTCTCTCTCTCTCTCTCAAAAAACAAACATTAAAAAAAACAAATAAGAAAAAAATATTTGAAAAAAAGACTGCGTAAATGAAGTATACCAGAACACATGTTCTGGTCATCAGGGACATTCTATGTGTGAGAACTTCTTGTAATAATTTGTATACATGTGTATTAACTCAATGGATAAGAATTAAATACCTTTTAATTAAAAATATAAGTTACAACTTCTTTAGAAGAACAGACCATTCAAGTACTAAGATGCAGAAGTATAAATGGGTATTATTTGCTTATAGAATGCATATGGTTCCTGCATTATGATGGCTTTCTATAATGTGTTCTAACAATACTGGTATTCTAAATTTCTAACTTCAAACAGACCTTCAAATAGGCAGATGAGAAAGGTGTATAGTCACAAATTGGGACAATGGTTCAGGAATAATTGTTAATGAATGCAGTTCACTTTAGAGTCATTTAACTGCACTTTAAGTAATATAGTAAATTATACTAAACATTATAGTACGATGAGGGACAGATCATCTCTTGAATATGAATTCAATCTGGGGATTTCCCAAAGCAGATATGAATAAAGTTGAACAAGGATACTTTATGTTTTAACTTACTAAATTTTCAACCTCACAGCAAAAAGAAGAGGAATAGGAGGAAGGAAGAAGGAAGGAAGGAAGGAAGGAAGGAAGGAAGGAAGAATAGAAGGAAGGAAGGAGGGAAGGAAGGAGGCATGGGAGGGAGGAAGGAAGGAAAGGGAAAATTGCTCCCAATTTCTAAAGGCAAAATTTAACTCCAGGCTGGGAAATTTCATTTTTAGTCATCCACACACCTAGCACAAATATTTGAATATTTACCTATGGCAGATAAAGGAGTCAAATAGAAAGGACAATAGGCAGAAAGAAAAAGCAAAAATTGAAGGGAAACATAAAGACAAAGAAAAACAAAAGAAATACACTAGTAAAATGACTTACTGAAATAACCTGACAGGAATTTTTTTTAATCCGAAGGAAAAAAATAGTTATGACCAAAGATGAGATCTTAAATGTATAAAGAGAAAGAAAACAAGTTCTTCATCTTTCCCAAAACTGCAACAGGAGATAAGGTGCAAGAGGAAAGGTTTATACTGGATACGCAAAAGGTATTTCTAACAAGGAAATACGACCTACAGTGGGAGAGGTTATGAAGGATTGGATTATGGTGCACTACTTTGTATAGATTGGGTATACTTTGTATAGATGTTTACCTTATTGGAATAAAGGGCATAATATTATAGTGTCTGACAAAACTACCAACAATGGTTTTGCAAAGACTCTAGTAAGCAAGGATTTGCACTGAGACTTCACGTTATCACCATTTGATGAAATTCTTTATTCAAACGTGCACAGGCACACACACACACACACACACATACACACAGTAAGAAAACAATAAAATACTCAGTAATAAAATACAATAAGAAAACACTGAAAAATTCTATAAATAACAAAGTATGAGTATAAACATTAACCTAAAAGGCAGTCTCCTAGTATCATAAGGCTTCAAGGTGGATAATAACGTATATATATTAGAAGCACTTAGAACCAGAGAGTTCCAAGCATTTTCTGGGGGAAATTCCTGTAGCGGAACTTTGTTCTCACACTTACCTTTACAGTCCTTCTTATTTGAAAGCATAACAAAACCACTTTTACAGGAACAGTGGTAACTTCCAGGTGTATTATCACATATCTGACTGCAACCTCCATTCACATGTGAGGGATCTTTGCATTCATTTATATCTGAGAAGGGAAGAACAGATTGTTTTCAAAGAGATAAAGCCTTTGGAGACCTTCCCAGGAGGTCACTCTGGACGAGCCAGGCGGATTCACCATACGTACCATATTCACACTTGTCTCCTTGCCAACCTGATTTACAAACGCAAGTGAATGTAGCTTGGCCATCTTTGCAGCTCATATATCCATCTTCATTGCATGGTAGAGGACTACACTGGTCTGGAATGGCTGAAGGAGATAGACAACTATTTAATTTTACCACGCGCCATGGTAAAAAAAAGAATTATATGCCCTTGAATAGAAATCCTGTGCACGAAGCCTGTAATCAATACCAAAAAAAATTACAACCCCTTCCTTCAAGTAACACTTTTTCATAGAAAAGTGAGTCCATATTTATTTTTTCTTCTATGATTGTTTGCCTTGTTTTCCAAACTCCACATACGAATGAAGTCACATGGTATCTGTCTTTCTCTGACTGACCTACCTCACTCAGCATAATACTCTTCAGCTCCGTTCACGTTTCTGCAAATGGCAAGATTTCATTCTTCTTTAAAAAGAGAGGCAGACCATGAAGCTGCCTTTTGACTATAGAGAAGAGGCGGATGTTTGCCAGAAGGGAGATGGGTGGGGGGATGGGTTGAATGGGTGATGGGAATTGGAGTTACGATTGTGATGAGTGCAGGGTGTTGTATGTAGGTATTAAGTCACTATATTGCTCACCTAAAACTAATATTGCTTTTATGTTGGCTAACTGAAATTTAAATAAAACATTAAAAGAAAAAGGAAATAAAAGAAAGAAAACACATAACTTCCTGAAAAAAAAAAAAAACACTGATTCCACTAAACAAACCTTTATAATTATTTTGCAAAAGGGAACTACTTCTTTATTTGCAAAGATAGACAGTACTTAACTGCAATTTGATATTTTTCATATAAATTATTTTATTTGATCCTTAAAATGATTCAGTGAGGTGTGCAGAACAAATAAAACTACTCAGTATCAACAGAAAATGAATTTGGGACTTCCAATTTGGCTAAGAAGAAGTAACATGGACTAGATTTATCTTCCTGCTCAAAATACATAAAACAGTGGTTTCCAGACACTGGACAACAGGTAGCAGAGTATTGGTGATGCCCAGGGGAAGGCTATTTTCTTCATAAAATGTTATAGCACCTTATCATGATCTTAAATGATATGCCCATTTGCTTCTTTACTAATTTGTGGTCTCTCTCCCTCCACTAGACACTGCAATGGTCCCTTGGTTCCTGTACATTTCTGTTCCTCAAGTCTTCCTAGTTAACTCTGCAAGTTCCTTCCATCCTTCTAACACATTTCCCTTTGCTTAAGTTAGCTAAGGAATTTTCTGTGACTTGCAAAAAAAAAAAAAAAAAGTTTAAAAACTAACCAAAACCTAATTACCCAATTTTTCAACAAACATCCTCATAAAATCATCAAGTTTTTTGAAAAGTAGTAATAAAATAGGTATTAGTTACAATGATAGAAAACAAGCTAATTAGCAAGTTATCAAATTATTTTCATATATTTTGGTAAATTAAAAATAAATAAAGTATGGACGCCTGGGTACCTCAGTCGGTTAAGCATCTGACTTCAGCTCAGGTCATGATCTCACAGTTTGTGAGTTCGAGCCCCACCTCTGGCTCTGTACTGACAGCTCAGAGCCTGCAGCCTGCTTTGGATTCTGTGTCTCCCTCTCTCTCTGCCCCTCCCATGCTTATGCTCTACCTCTGTCTCTTAACAATAAATAAATGTTAAAAAAATTTTTTTAATTAATTAATTAATTAATTAATTAATTAAATAAAGTAGGGGTGCCTAGGTGGCTCAGTCGATTAAGCGTCCAACTTAGGCTCAGGTCATGATCTCACAGCACATGAGTTTGAGCCCCACATCAGCCCCACACTACCAGCTTGGAGCCTGACTGGGATTCTCTCTCTTTGCCCCTCCCCCACTAGGGCTTTTTCTCTCTCTCTCTCTGCCACTCCCCCACTCACACTTCTCTCTCAAAAAATAAACTTTAAAATAAATAAATAAAGTATGAATTAAATATGTTTGTTCAGCAAACCGTTTTACCTGTGTAATTAAAACCAACTTAAAATTAGAGAAAATGCAGATAAATGAATATTTAGATAATGCCGATGCTATATGTACAATGTTCACTAGATAAACATCCCAATTTACACCTTGCAATTTCACCTTTGTCTTTTTGACTCTCAATTGGGAAAATGGGTAATGAGAGACAAATAATCTACCAGAATTATCACTACGCCCTATGTGAACTTTAGCAGGAGAAGGCTAATTTGATATTCAAACAGTTTTCACATTTATGTTACTGATGCCAAAAGTTAGAAGAATAAACATGGCTCCACTTTGACCTATCAATCAACCGTAACATTTGGTCATACTACATGATTATGCAACAACATCCAAAATAAAACTGTTTGGGAATAAAATTCTGAAGTCAATGACCTAAAGCTTAGTAAACAAGGAACACTGTTCAATTTAAACCTTAGGTGGAATATTTATTTTGAGTAAAAGAGCAGCATATGCATTTGAAAAAACACTTTTCCAAATGATGTCAAAAATATCTCCTTGCTGGGCATAACAAGTCTTGTAGGGCTCATTCGTTGATTTTAAACATCAGTTATATTTACATGGTGCATTTACTTGCAGATTTTTATTTTGTTTTGTTTTGTTACTCAAATGGACGACAGCGGTGCTTACCAGTGACACAGCTCCTTAGATCAGGGTAGGCATCGGTTGACTGACGTGCAGCAGTGAACAATCCAGCTCGGAAAGAGCCAAGACAATCTGGAAACACAAATGTAATCTTAGAGTAGATACATTTACCTCATGTGAAATAATGGTGGAAGTAGAAATTATCCAAAGTGATAGAATATTTATGTTCCTGTGGATTTATAGGAGTCAGCATTCAAAATGATGAACGTGATGGAAACATGAGCCCTAAATGTTTCCATCCACCTTTTTGAAAAATTAAGTATCTATAAGCAAGATGACAATAAGGAAAGACAGGTTTATGGAAGCTTCTTCTCAGAGAAGAACCTTAAAGCAAGAAGTGAAACGATCTTAGGTTAACAAAAAAATTTATTCGCAAATAAGTCTATGTTCTTCATTCCGCAGCAGAGACCTAAAGTTACCCTCAAATCTGTAGATCAGAGCCTGGTTTAAAAGCATCTATAATTAAATCAATAGACTAACTTAGTGTTTCTGGTCACTGTAGGCAACTTCTACTTCTCCTAGTGTTGCATATAGATTAATATAATAATATTTGTGTAATGCCTCAGTATTACAAAGTAGGTTTACTTCATTCATGTTATTCCTCACTACAACTCTGGGAAATTAGAGCAATCTGGCAGCAATAACAGCTGAAATAACAGATAAAATACTTATATACTTAAAAAATAAAATAAAATACTTACTTATATACTTTAACTAGGAGTCATTTAGTCTCAACAACATAACATTTCTTAATAGTCCCTCAAGACAACATTGTATAAATATATATGTATGTATATATACACGTATATATCTTACTTCACTGTACAGCTAATCACAACTTACTAAAAAAGTGGTATTTTTATTATCTTTTGCTAACAACCCCCAAAATCAGAAGCTTAAATAACAACTCCATTTTAGATTAAATTTTAGGTCAAATATTTAGAAAGGGTTTGGTTGGGCTGTTTGTCCCTGCTGCACATAAGAGTCAGCCAGGGTGGCTAGGATCGGAAGATCCACTTCCCAGATGGTTTTTCACTCACATGGCTGACAGCTCAGGCTCCTTGGCATTTCTCTCTATACACATGTCATGTTTCAGGGCTTCTCACTGTGGTTGGGTTTCTCTTAGCAGGCTGGTCCTAGAGTGGTACTTCTTTCGTGGTAGCTAACTTCCAAGAGGAATAAAGCAGAAACTGCCAGGCCAATGAAAGAGGCATTTTGTCACCTTTGCCACAGTCTACTGATCAAAGCAATCCCAGGGGCCATCCAAAGTCAGGGGGTAAGGGGACACTATATTTTTATGAGCACTTCATGCTGCTGCATAGAAGTTATTGTTTCTAATTTATTGCTTGCTAAACATTACTCCATGGCAAGCAACGACCATTTTTATAATCCCCTCTACCAATGAAAGATACTCAGGTTGCCCCCAACATCCCACCTCCACAGGTGCACTGCGATGGACATCTTCATATGTGTCTCATTAGTATATGCATAAGAAATTGATACCTGGGGGGTCCAGAATTGTGAGATCATTAGATAGGCAGGTACTTTTCGACTCTCTAGAGGTGCATTCCCACCAGAGAGCACAAGAATTTCTATATCTTGGCTGTCTAATTTTTGCCAGAATAGGTAATAAAGTGACATCGCATATTGTTTTTCTGATTTCTAGTGAGATGCAGCATACCGTTATGTCATCTAAAAAACTTTTGAGGGGCACCTGGGTGGTTCAGTTGGTTAAGTCTCCAGCTTCGGCTCAGGTCATGATCTCACAGTTTGTGGGTTTGAGCTCCGAGTCGGGCTCTATGCTGACAGCTCAGAGCCTGAAGCCTGCTCTGGATTCTGTGTGTGTGTGTCTCTCTCTACCCCTTTCCTGCTCATTTTCTTTCTTTCTCTCTCTCTCTCTCTCAAAAATAAACAAGCGTTAAAAAATTTAATAAAGAAATAAAAAATGTTTGAGTTTCCTCCTCCGAAAATTTTCATTACTTACTAACCATTTTTCTATTGGCAGTTATTTATCGTTCATGTGGGTTTGCAGAAATTTAAACATTTATAAATATCATCTCTCATTCTGTTATCTGTCTCTTAAACTTTTACGTCTCTTTTAAGAGAAGTTCCTAACTTTGTTGTCATCAAATTTACCAAATACTGTGCCTTATGGTTTGTGAATTTGCAGGTGTTTTTCCATGCTGTTGATTACAAAGATATTACAAAGATATTCTACTATGTTATTTCTTTAATTTCATGGTTTGTCTTTAACATTTTTGTCTTTATTCCACCTAGAATACACCATTACATTTGGTGGTACTTAGGAACCCAGATTTATATTTCTGGTTAGAGTTAGCCATTCTCCCCCACACCATCTTCTCAACAACCCACAGTGATGTGTGGTGTCATCTTTATCAGATATTAGGTTGGCATATATACATGGGTCTCTGAACTCTCTAGGTTGATTAGTCTACATGTTCTGACAATATTATATGGTTTTCTTTATAGCTTTGAATTAATATTTGATGAGGTACTTCCTCCTTTTATATTTTTAAAGGTTTATATAGACATAGGTGAACTTTTATTCCCTGATTTAAATGCTAAAGTGAACTTACTGAATTCCTTTAAAAAATCTGAAATTCTAAATGGGATTGCTTTGACTATATAGATCAATTTGAAGTTAACTGATCTCTCTTTAGCAGTACTCAATTCAAGATCATGAAATGTCTTTCCATGATTTCAGTTCATCCTCTATATCCTTAATTCAAGTTTAAAATTTTTTTCTATAGAGACCTTACAGAATTTGCAGCTATATAAAAAGGTATCATCTTTTCATTTTCTAGTGGACTACTGTTTGTGTAAGAACTACTACTGATTTTTATAGGCTAGTCTTAGAGCTATCTAAAAATCTCCTATGTGTTCTAATATATTGTCTACGGATCATTTTTATTTCTAGGCATATCATTGTATCAGTTATAATTAATGCTAGGTATATACTTTGCCCATGAGCTATACAATTCCTATTTCTTTTTCTTTCCTTATTTCATTGGCTATAACTTCCAGTGCTTCTCTTCTTGTCCTCAACCATAGACTATATCTAAACTTTATCCAGTAAGTATAATTACTGCAGATTTTGAGTTTTTCCTTCCTTCTTTCTTCCTTTTTTTCCGTCCTCTTTTTCTTTCTTTCCTTCTTTTTTTCTCTCCAGTTGTGTGTATATCATTAAAGTGACCATACATGGCAATTTTCCCAGAACAGTCCTAGTACTGGGTAGTATTGGTCCTGGACAAAAGTATCAAAATTTGTAAATTATATGGTTATTCTGTATAACCTTCACCAAGTTCAGAAAGTTCCCTTAAAATTATAGTTTGCAAAAAGGTTTTATAATTAAGCTCTGAATTTTATCAACTGCTTTTTCTGTATGAACTGAAGTAATAATATACTATTTACATGGATAATTACATTGATAGATTTTCTGATGTTAAACCACTCTTAAATTTCTGGAATAAACCTAATTTATTATGATATACTCTCTTTGATACATTTTAGATAGATTGGATATCATATTATTTTCTTGTGTTGTTCTTACCTGATTTTGACTTTTTCAAATTTTTATTTAATTTTGAAAGAGAGAGACAGAGCATGAGTGGGGGAGGGGCAGAGAGCGAGGGAGACGGAATCCGAAGCAGTCTCCAGGCTCCCAGCTGTCAGCAGAGTCCAATGTGGGGCTTGAACCCACAAACTATGAGATCTTGACCTGAGCCGAAGATCATGACCTGAGACGCTTAATCGATTGAGCCACCCAGGCACCCCTTACCTGATTTTGGAATCAAGATTATACCAGCCTTTCTGAATAAGCTCACAGCATAGAATCTTATTCTCTCTACTAGGGCAATTTTATAAGAGAAAATTTAACTTTTTTTTTTTTTTTTTAATTTGGAAGAAGTCATCTCTAAAACATCTAGATCTAGGAGATCCGGAAGAGGGCTTTGGTTGAGGTTTTACTTTTTCACTAGTTATTTATAACCAAGTTATCTATATCTTCATGTAAAATTATAGATGGTTCCTACTTTTCTAGGAATGTATCCATTTTATCAAGTTTTCAAATATATTTTGGTATAGCTGTTTGTCTTCTTTTGTGATTATATTTTATTTTATGATACTCTTTATCTTACCATTATAAATTCAATCAATGTTGGACTTCTAGTATTTCTTCTTTTTATCCTACACCTTCTATTTTGGCATTTCCTCTTTCCTTCTTTTTCTTTTTCCTTAATTATTCTTGCTAAAGATCAGGCTAACTTAATAACCTTTGCACCAAATGCAATTTTGCTTTTGTGAATGTTCTCTTTTGTTTTGTTTTCCTTTTAACTAATTTCCATGTCTATTTTTGTTATTATTTTTTGCTATTCAGTGTCAAATTTAAGAATTTTTCTTGATTTGTATGTTTAGGTCATCTTGTAAATTCTCCAATGTGTTTTTTCACTGCTGCTTCAGAGGTCACCACCCAGTCCCCACACACACTAGGTAAATCCAGACTTCAGCTTACCCATGGATTCCTCACATTTCTTGTTGTTTTTCATTTTATGTTGTTATCATTAGGGCCTGGAATGCCAATGTTTCTCCTGAGATGATTTTAAGAGAAGGAGTCAGCAGTTTGGGCTAGTTCGCCAACTTGGTAAGAACTAAATAACTAAAACTTACTTCTAACGTTTATATTTAGGCTCAGAATTAGCATTTTTCCAAAAATTTTCTCTCCCATTAATAAAATCATCCATTCTATCAGGTGATATTTTAAAGGCTCATATAAATGGTAGAGTTATTTATTCTATTTTCTAAGGAAAGAACACAACTCAAAAACTTATGTTTGTATAATGAAGCCCCAGAGTATTTCTGACCAAATTCTATGTTTCCAGTGCAGCACATAGGATATGTGGATAAATGGAACCACTTTCTAAGCCTCTGAATCTCTAAATCTAAACACTGCCCACTGTGTAAGTATTAGTGGTCTAATTTCTTAGGCGTCCTTATCCTGCTGCAAGTTTTCTGAATGAGCTATGATAATTAGTAAAATTATGTTAGATTTACCAAAGACAGGATTACAAAGTTTTTGTTTGTTTGTTTGTTTGTTTGTTTGTTTGTTTCCAATTAGGGCCATTGGCCTCTAGAATGCACATAATCAAATGACAGAAAGGTTTAAGTTAGGTAGAGCATTTCTTTTCTGTTTTCAGCAGTGGGATTCATTGCATATGCCTATATAAATAACTAAAGACCCAAATATAAAATATGAATCAAAAAATAAAACATAATAAAAAGTATATATTTTTTATATTATGAGTTGGTTAAATAATAATACTTTACATTTCAAGACAGTTCCATGCAGTAAAAAACCTATCTGCATACATATACTTATTTGTTATTCCCAATAGGTCCAAAGTTAGAAAATGTAATTATGGTGTACATTTAATTTTTTTTTTCAACGTTTATTTATTTTTGGGACAGAGAGAGACAGAGCATGAACGGGGGAGGGGCAGAGAGAGAGGGAGACACAGAATCGGAAACAGGCTCCAGGCTCTGAGCCATCAGCCCAGAGCCTGACGCGGGGCTCGAACTCACGGACCGTGAGATCGTGACCTGGTTGAAGTCGGACGCTTAACCGACTGCGCCACCCAGGCGCCCCTATGGTGTACATTTAAATGCAGAACCTGAAAAGCTAAATAACTTGCTTAACCCGACACAGTAGAGATTTTTAGACCTAGGAGTAGAGCCCACATCTTGTGTTTTCGTTTTTTTTTCCTTTGTTTGCACTTGTTTTTTCTACCAAGCTGCCACATAAGATAAGCAAAGAAAAAGTTGAGTCGAGCCAGAAAAGAGGAAGTTGAGAAGCATAAAAGGAGAAAAAAAGCAAAGTATTTTATTAAAGGCACTTCCCCAGAATACATAATACTGTATTAAAATGTTATTTATCTTCATCCAAATATACTCTGTGATCAAAGGTCTGTGCTTCTAGAGTACTGATATCTGCAGAAACACAGCTTCATTACATAAACCTAAGAAACAAGAATTAATACTATTTTTTAAGCTTTTAATTTTTCATAGCCAAATATTATCTTTTGTTTTTAAATAAAATATGTAAATTCCTACCTAAAATTGAGTAGCTGAAGCAGCCTTGATATTCTAATTTTTCTCCATTTTAACAGTATAAACACTTAGTTTTTGTATTAGAAAGTGAGTAACTTTACATGTGTAACTTTACAAGAGAAGAGAACTTTTTCATGGATGTGTATCTATACCCCATTGCTCTTTAAGATACGGCAGCTAAAGATTTTAGAGAATCTTGCTGCATTTTCACATCTATAGACATGAGTAATATTACTACACAGTCTTTATAGTGTCCTCTTTCCAAATTTGAAGGAAACTGTTTAAGTTTGTTATCAGCAGCTAGAAAAGGGAAGGAAAAAAAGAAAATGGGAATAGAGGGGGAGTCAGGGAAGAAAACTAAAAAGGACTAGCATAACATATTCCTCTATGTACTTTCAAAACATCATCTCATGTTATTTCTTGCAAAAACGTATTGGTAAATTGCTGTTATCCATCTGACCACTGAGAAAACTCGGGCTCCTTCAGGTAAAGTAATTTTAAGATCTTGCAGTAGATACGTATTAGATTGGAAATTATAGAAAGAAATTATAATAAGTCAGCTGGAAAACACCCCGCAGCCCACAGAACATGGGTTCAAATGGGTCATGCCATGAAGATCTAAGAGATACCACTGAACTGATGTCTTACAACTGTTAACACAGGTAAAATGAGATGGAGTATATTGCAGTTAAGTCTCCTTGGCTCAGGATATGCCACATAAGTAAGAATTCAGACCGTCATGGATACAAAACATGTAAGAGTAACCACTTCAGGAATTATGAAAAAGGGCACGTGGTTCTAAAAGGGTGTTCTACCCAGTAGTCTTGGGCTCTTCTCTTGCTAATTGTCCTGAAGGGAAAATATAAGAACATACCATCATTTCAGTATAAATCTTCCTAGGAAAAGGGGAAAGGTATAAATCTAAAGACCATCTAAAGATGGTCTCTGAAACTTCATAAACAAAACAAAAGCAAACAAACTATAATGAAACTATAATGAAACCATCTAACTTCAAGAGAAATGCATTTAACAGAAAGAGTTATTTGCAATATTATATTAATAACTCTAAGCTGCATAGTTATTAATGCGTATAAGAGCACATTTCTAATATTCTTTCTCCAAGGAAGATTTTTCATTTCTGCAGTGCTTGAACCCTCAAATTGGCTTGGATAAGAGCTGGGTGGAAAGAGGTACAAATGGTGAATATTCTGAGCCTAAAGGAGGAGGGAGAGCATGCCTGTGTAGGTTGGACCTACAGAGAATTCCATCAGAAAAAGGGGATTTTTGCAGATTTGCAAATTATAGTCTACTTTTATTGTTTGGAAATATTGACAACTTTCCCAAGTAATATTAATATATCTCAACATTTGCTTAAAGCAAACTGGAGCCTTGTTATCTTTCATGTCTATTGAGTTGAAATCATCTAATCTATTTGGGTGTAGAAATACCACCTCCCTCCTTGAGAATCCAGAATGGTATCCAAAGGCAAAACATGGGTAGGGATACTTCAGGGAATGGTGAAATGATGTTTCAAAGAGAGATACTAGTAATGATTTCTATAACTATTTAAATTATGATGATTTCTGTCATAAGCTCTGGGGAGTATAGAGATCTTTCCTTTCATTAAGAGATCATCTATAAGCTCCAGTTACAAAGTAAACAAGTCGTAGAGTATAATGTATAGGATGGTGACTACAGTTAATAATATTTGAAAGTTGCTAAGAAAGTGGATCTTAAAAGTTCTAATCACAAGAAAAAAAATTTACTATGTGTGGTGATGGATGTTAACTAGACTTACTGGGTAATCATTTTGTAATATATACATACACATATTAAATATTATGTTGTATGCCTGAAACTAATCCAACATTATATGTATGTATGTTAATTATGTATCAATTTTGAAAAGATAATCCAGGGTGTCTGGGTGGCTCAGTTGGTGAAGCGCCAAATTTGGCTCAGGTCATGATCTTGCGGTTCGTGAGTTCAACCCCACGTTGGGCTCTGTGCTGACAGCTCAGAGCCTGGAGCTTGCTTCGGATTCTGTGTCTCCCTCTCTCTCTCCCCCTCCCCTGCTCACACTCTGTCTCTCTCTCTCTCAAAATAAATAAGCATTAAATAAAAATTTTTAAAAGGTAATCCATGAAAATTCACATGCTTATAAAGAATGTCCTGATATATAAATATAATTTATCAACAGCACATAGACCTTTATAAGAAAGATGTGAGAATGAAAAAGGCTAAAAGTCAAAATGCCACATGGTAGTTAAAGAACCATTTCAAATTTTTCTACATGTCTTTAAATAAAAGGACAGCAAAACTGAATATAAAATGAGATATTACTCCCAAGGCAAATTAAATTATATTGGATGGAATATATGGATGGAAGATTGGACTTGATCAAATCGAACTTCCTTTCCATTTCTAAGATTATATGATTAAGATTCTTTGAACTTACCTAAGTATTTTGGATAAAAATAATCCTAGAAAGAAAGAAAAGAGAAAAATATATCTTAGCAAGCCTAAATTTCACTATACAGTTAAAACTCAATTTTATCATGTGTTTTGTATTAATGATGCAAATATATTACATATAAGTATCATTTCCATGTTACATTTTTGCTATAGTAAAATATAGCAAGAGTAGGTAACTAATAACATTAAGTCAATAAGATGCTTAGCTTAACTCAGTATTGATCAATAAAATCATGTCACAAAAGCTTCTAATCTGAAAACAGGCTCTATTGAAGATGTTAAATATAACATATGCCCTCTATTTGTAACTCCTTTAATTTTTCCATAATGATCAGATACCCAGGTGACACATTTCATGTCATGCTGATGACACACACCAGATTTAATGCTGAATAACAGTGCCATAATTTGAAATTAATTAAAGTGAACATTATCTTTTAGCATCTTCTGTACATGTAATCCCTTACTTACAAATTGGTTACGTACCAAAAGCTTATCTGTAAATCGGTAATTTGGGCTAAGGAATGTACTTTACCAAATGGAGAAAAATGTTAAAAATGATTTCTGCAGGTAACATTTCTAGGCTGGTTCCCCAAGGCCATCTTAAGCCACAATATATCTAATATGTAACATTAGTAACACAAAAAACCAGTGCTTCAACAGAAAAACATACTCTAGTAAGGAACATACCTGGTCCAGTATAGAGTCAAAGTCTTCACTCTTGCCTCCTCTCACATATAAACCTACACAACACTTACCTACTAGTTTATAAGGATGGGATCTCCCACCAAGTGATTCCAACAGTGGTGTTTTCCTCTACAGAACAAAAGCCAAGAGGACAAGCAACGACGAATGGGTTCAAAGAGAGATGATGTGAGGGGAACGGAAGATATTAGTGGCAGTGAAGAGATGAGCAATAGGGTGGATACTGGGAGTGCGGACTATTACAGCATGGACAGGGAGAGGCTGGGGTGGGATAGAAAATGAGAAGCAGTCACAAATGCTTTTTCCTTTCTCCCTTTTCTTCATTACTCTCTCTGTCATCTTTCGCTTTCATATATGAGGCCAATGTCAGAAAGTGGAGGAGAGGAAGCACATAAATGAGGTTCCCTTCTCCACTACTTTCCATCTTCTCCACTATGGTCTTCTACCTCACTCTCCATTTACTATTCAGAGGCTAAGCTACCAGATCATATCTATGGTATTAGACATATGTACTCAAGTATTTATGGGCAATGTAATAATATGATATCTCAGGGATGCAGGCTTGCCTTAAGCAATCCAGCAAAACAAAACAAAAATTAGACTGGGTGGGGTAGAGAACAGGCAAAACAAGAATGGCTGATTGCTAATAACTGTTGAAGTCTAGGGAGGTATGCTATATATACCACATATATGTGTGTGTGTGTGTGTGTGTGTGTGTGTGTGTGTGTGTATATTATAGTATAGTATATTACAGTATAGTATATAGTATATAAATACATACTATGGTATTTAAATTTCTATAATAAACAATATAATATTTTACACCCCACACAACAAGAGTACTGGTCTGCTATATTGTGTGAAATAAAATTTTGTTGCCTTGTCAATTGCTTACCCACACAAAGCAACAAAACTGAGAGAGAAACGTGTTGACTTAATCCTGGAGAATATTACAAACAATTCTTTGGATATCTTGGGGAAAAAAAATGTCTTTGAACCTGTTAGAATATGTCGAGGTAAAAGGATTAAAGAGGAACTGTGGAGAACACAAGCTGTTACTGTCTTGGACAAGTTCTCTAATATAGACAAATGTTCCTGTTCATCCTCTCTCATCTAGTGTCACGGTCCCAGAAGCCACTGCCAAGCTGAAGGAAGTACTTTGTATATGTCTTCTCCCTCATTTCATGTTGGTTACATAGTTCATCTCAGGAAAAGTATCTGAGGTAACCCTGAGAGGTATCAGATTTGAATTCTCACGGTCATCCTCATCCTAACTTTTAGAGGCACTGTTTATAATCCTGTTTTCCACAGGCATATTAGCAAACACCCTCCCCCAGGGAAACTGGGGGACTACAGATCAGGTCGAGGGCTCCATATTTCTGTATGATATTTAGTGGTCTTTATGATTAAATTCTTTGAGACTAACTTGGAAAAATGTAGACACTAAATATATATATTCTAACCCCAGGAATTACTGATCATATTAGGTGGACTCAGGAAACATCCCAAGGATCTTTGTTAAAGATTCTACTCAGGGAATATAATACAGTCATGAATTCTTCGGTAAGTATTCACTGGGTACCAATTATGTACCAAACTCTGGATCAGAGGGCCTTGTTTTCTAAAGCCTGGTAAAAAATGCCAATGGAGAGATTTAATGAAGGATAGTGATAATGCAGTCTCACACACACACACACACACACACACACACACACACACACACCACACTTGAGACACCTTCTTCCCCATCTACGCAATACCACCAAATCCTGGTTGGGAGAAAGTATTTATAAACCATGAGGTCAAAACCAATGCTGACTCTGAAGTATAAGGAACTCATAGTTTGGTCACAGCACATGGCTATGGCAGCAGTGTCTCCCTAACAAAGCCCACTTTCTTTTGAAGGTACTCCCTACTGAAATGCTTCAGTGGTTACACGTGGAAGGCGATAGACACAATTAACTTTGTAAAGGACACAAGGCAACGCGGATTCAAGCTGGAAATGTTCAGTCTTTCACTGTATGGCTAGTATGCTAACTTACTAGCTTTCATGAATTCTTACCGTTTCCGGGTTATTTTCAAAGATCTCCCTGGCTTCTTCCTTATTGCACAGTTCTTCAATGCATTCTCGTTCCAGATTACCCTTTTTGGTTTCTTCAAACATAGAATTTGCACGGCGTTTCCTAATCAGGACTTGTGAAGCATGCTGCTTTGACAAAACTGAAGGAAAAAACAAGTTGGGGGGGGGTGAAGAGTAAGTCTTTCATTTCTCCACTTAAAATATTTTATTAAACAGTGAGAATTAAAATCATTGTCTGATTGTGAATTGCATAACATTTAAACTCAGTATAGGTGAACTGAGAAGAAAAAATGCTGGTACATAAGCACTTTGGTTAACAATTCAAAGAGCGGGTTTGGTGTGCAAACTATAGCACTTGTAGAATGATCCACACAAATCATTCAAGTTCACACAGAAGGGCAAACATACCAGACAATATTTAATGTTCACTTTATTATGACCATACTGGAAAAAGCATCATGCTGAAATGTCTATATCAAAAGTTACGGGGCGCCTGGGTGGCGCAGTCGGTTAAGCGTCCGACTTCAGCCAGGTCACGATCTTGCGGTCCGTGAGTTCGAGCCCCGCATCAGGCTCTGGGCTGATGGCTCGGAGACTGGAGCCTGTTTCTGATTCTGTGTCTCCCTCTCTCTCTGCCCCTCCCCCGTTCATGCTCTGTCTCTCTCTGTCCCAAAAATAAATAAAAACATTGAAAAAAAATTAAAAAAAAAAAGTTACAACCACACATCTTTAAAGCTGGAGTAACAAACCTTCTCAATTTTAATGGAAAACCACATGATCTCTGTAAAGATAGAGAAATGCAGGAGTACGGTCTAATCAGCTATTTGAAAGATACCTGATGGGCTAAAACACTTGATTTATTCATACAAGGAAAATAGGAATCTTTGAAACAAGGAAGACCTTGTACAAAGCACAAAATACAGAAGGCAAAGAGAAAAAAATTTGGTAATATCGACTACATAACAAATTTTAAACAACTGAAAAACAACAACAAAAGTAACAAAACAAAGTTCAACATCAAGCGACAGACTAGAGGAAAATATTTCATGATATAGAATGGAAAAAAATCACACATTATAGAATGTATAGACAACTTTTGCAAACTAAAACAATAACAACAGCATTAAGACAATGAATAATGAGAATGTGTGCTCATTTGGTGGCTCAGTCAGTTAAGTGTCCGACTTCGGCTCAGGTCATGAACTCACCATTTGTGAGTTCGAGCCCTGCACTGGGCTCTGTGCTGACAGCTCAGAGCCTGGAGCCTGCTTCGGATTCTGTGTCTCCCTCTCTCTCTACCCCTCCCCTGCTCATTTTCTGACTCTCTCTCTCAAAAATAAATATTTTTTTTAACGTTTACTTATTTTTGAGACAGAGAGAGACAGAGCATGAATGGGGGAGGGTCAGAGAGAGGGAGACACAGAATCCGAAACAGGCTCCAGGCTCTGAGCTGTCAGCACAGAGCCCGATGCAGGGCTCGAACTCACGGACGCGAGATCATGACCTGAGCCAAAGTCAGCCGCTTAACCGACTGAGCCACCCAGGCGCCCCTCAAAAATAAATATTAAAAAAAAATTTTTAATGAAAATTGTCTGGGATGCCTAGGTGGCTCAGTTGGTTAAGTTCAGCTCAGGTCATGATCTCCCAGTTTGTGAGTTGGAGCCCTGTGCCCTGCCTCAGATTCTGTGTCTCCCTCTCTCTGTTCCTCCCCAGCTTGCTCTCTCTCTCAAAAATAAACATTAAAAAAATTAAAAATGAAAATTGTGGAATGCCACACCTATAGCATAACCTGATATATATATCAGCCATACTTGTAGATGTGTAAGTATCACGTGGGCAAATTCATAGAAAAGAGTTTGAGAAGACAAACTACTGATTGCAATTATATTTGAAAAAAAAAAAAGACAGTATGAAGCTTTGGTGTCATTGCTTTAGTATGTAAACAGAACATTGTTTTATAGTACAAATTTGTTAAGCCAAAATTAAAATCTACAAATCATTTTTTAATCTTGATTTTAACCACAAATGGTTCTTTCATTAAGATAAGCAAGTAATATAAATAGATAATTTTGTTTTTCTCTTATTTATCTTATTACCTGGTAAATAAGGCACACACAACAGACGACAATAGAAGGAAGAAAAAAAGTAAAAGAACTAATTAATCAAAAATCTTTCAAGAGGGAAGGAAGTAATGTTACTATTTCTCCTACTTGCCAAAACAGATGTTTAAATGTGATGATTAAATAAATAAAGTGTCTGGGTTACATTTGTAGCTCTGTTTTACCATTTTTATCAGTGTTCATTAAGATCAAGATTAAATCAAGGCTGTATGTGTCTAACAGATGGGTTTCTGTGAGCACATTACCTCCCAAGTGTGCTACTGACTGATAAATGGTAGTCCTATCCACAATGAAAGAGTCTGACATGGCCAATTATTTCATTTATTTGAAATAGTCTTAAGGATGCTACTTTATAATAAATATAGCAAAAACATGTCCCTTTTGAACTTCAAAGCAAATATGTACGTTTTTCTGGGGAAAGCAAGAGCATCATTCTTTGAAAGATAAATACAGTGATTAAGTAACCAAAAAAATCAAGGTCAAATGCACTTAGGAAACTAACTATAAACATCACTCTTTGGTATTTCTTCCTTATGGAATGTTAAGTTTTGGACTTTAGATCTTAATATTGGTATCTAAGAATATCTGGTCCCCTGCAAGGGACCCTGCTACAGGACACAGAACAGGGTTGATAACACAGACTATATTCACATTTGTGAAAGGGAAAGCTTTCAAGTGTCCAGAGAGAACTAAGGTAGACATTTAAAGGAATGCTTACGTAAGTTTATAGAAGTAGAAGGAAACAAAAAAGCCTCCATTATTTCAGAGATGATGAAACTCACATAGAGAGCATGCAAGATAGTTACCCTAAGTTATAATAGCAAAATTAGGACTTAGATGCCAATGTCCAGACCTGTGACTATCCATTACTATTGCTGCTTCTCAAAAAAACAGAGGGTTCGTTTTCTCCAGTGATTAGAGGAATACTAAAAAGGAAAATTATTAACACCTCCATCCTAAAGGATAATGAAGCTAACAATAAATAACTAATTTTGTCTAGATTTGAATGTTTATGTTTTATTTCATCTAGGTTCAAACCAATAATGCTTTAAATTGTCACGGTACTTAATAATTTTCAATGTGTGTATTATTTCATTTTGATCCTCACATAAATAATGAAATAAACTAGAGTGTAGAATTATCATCCCCACTTTCCTTGAGTTACTTAAACTTAAGCTGAGAGAGGCTTCATGATTTAGCCCAAAGTCATAGGGTTAAGATGTGGTCTAATGGGACAGGGATTCAAATATACCCATCCTTCTAATAAAGTGCTCTTTCCTCTGTATATTCTGCCACTAAATGACCACAATGTACTTGATCTTAAAAAAAAAAAAAAAGAAATTATGTGACTGTGGCATGGACAAGTTTGATATCTTCAATAAGACATTTACTGCCCTTTAGAAAATAAACCCATCCATTTAACAAGTGTGCTTTCAAAGAAGTCTACTATTCCTTCTCAAAAAAATATAAACATGACATTACAGATCCGAATTAAAAACTACAGAACTGTAGGATGAGAAAAATATGTGTGTTAGAAGTGCTTTAACCAGATGCCTCCATCTATCCACCTAAAAGCATCCACCCTGCTGGACTTCTCCATTATTAAAAAGTTCCATTATTTATCAGAATAGTCATGGTATATAAGCATATGTATGCTGTTTTTAAATGATCTCCTTCAATACTAATCACAACTGTTCTAAGTAGACAGTAATTGTCCCATTTTATACATGAACAAACTACAACTCAGGGAAGCTGAGTTCATCTCACCAAGTTCACACAGCTGATCACAGAGCCAAGCCTGCCTCCAAAACATGTTCTCCTTTTGCATTACTACACTGTGGCTAGTCATTTGTTTCACTTCTTTGGGTCAAGAAGTATTTCAAGTAAGCCTTTGTTAAAACTCAACTTTGCTGCTTGAAATGTGTTACATTCAGATTCAAAATTTCAGGTTATTAGGTTCAGTTAAGAGTCTTTCAAGTTAGAAGAATGATGGAACTATTCACATTTTTAACTTATCTGAGTCCTCCCTTCTTCAAACAGTGTCCATAGCAGGTTCAACAACTACGTCAATAACATAACCATTGTTCAAACATTAACTGGAATTCTTTCTTGACATTGCTTAACAGCCTTCAAATGTTCCTCTTTCTGTGGGGGCAAATCTTTGTTTTTTGAGCACAAAATTTGATTGTCTTATCTCCAAAAAAGTAATTTATTGTTATTGGTACTTCATCAAAGCACCTGTAATAAGGATAAGCATTATCCTTATTAATAATTAAGCATTATTAATAATAAGTATTAGCATTGCCTCTGCTCACAGGAGAATTTCCCAGTGTTAATTCAGTTCCACCACGGTCACAGGGCGGTACTTTCCTCAGGCCCTTTTCCCACTTAAGTTTTCAAACTTGCTACCATCTGTTCAGGGGGTGAGGACCACAGATCCGCAATTTGCCCAAAACTGATCAGTCAGATGTGAGTGAGGTTTCAGACAAAGGAGATGAAGAAGGTTCATGCTTTAGGAAAGTCCATCCTCTGAATCTTCTCCATTCTGTTCTCTTGTCCTTCGCAAAGCTGGTTCTCACATCCCTCCTTCCAAAAGCTCATCCTTTTCTAGTTCTGCTTTCTGTCTCTTTTCCCCAGGATCTACTTATCTGGCATCCCAGGAATGAAAAACTACCCTAGAAAATGTGTCTGAGAATCTCTGGTAGAATTTGGGTTGGCAGAGTGTTTGAATCCTTGTTTCTGCTTCAGTCTGGGATGAAGCAGGGGAAAATTGCTTTCAATGTACAAATAGAACAACTAGACAATACTCTGAGATATAACTGTGCCTCATATGTGTCAACTGTTGAAATGGCATGTTTTCATTAGTCAAAGCCCGAGAAACATAGAATTGCATGTAATATAGAAAAACTGTTAGTTAATAATGATGGGAAAACATATGCCCAGATATTACCAATTGTATTTAAAATAATCACATGATAATCAAATGTAAAATGTTTCATTTTTTTCCATAAAGATTTCTC